GGGGAAAATTGTGTCGGTGCACAAGTCACATTTTCTTATTATATTCAAAAACAATGTAACTCATGCTGGAATGGACAGTGGGGAAGGTTGCATGAAGCAGTAAACAGGTTTTTTTTTATTTTTTTTTTTAAATAGTACTCTATTTTGCTTGCTTGACGTAAATAGCATAATATAAGTCGCAGAAAGTTACAAATAATATAAAAAAAAACAACTTCTAGAAAGGTAATATAATAGGCCTTTCTCAATCATTGTGTCGTCACATCCTGCTCCGATTAGAAGCATAATAGAATTTTCTCCTGCATTATTGTCAATGGACAGACGCCAAATTTTGACAACAAAACTGAACTTGGTTGAACTTGACAAAAAACATAAATATTTCAAACAGTATATTTAGCCTTACATGTTAAATCTTCTATTTTTAATGAGCAGCATTATGTGAGCGAGGAGAATTGTCAGCAATGGTGTCGTCCCAGTCATGAAGACGCTGCTCAAGGAATACTGCGGGAGGAATATTTTATTTTTAATTTACATTTTTTTATTGTTGCAGCATATTTATTATAATTTACCTTAAATCATGTCTACAATATAATGCCATCCATTCATCTTTGCACTCAAACCCCGAGGATATGACACGCTTAAGATGATCAAACCAGTCATTTTGAAATAATCGACTTCGGGTTGGAAATATTCCTATATTCGAACAACTTCAGTTTGATCTAATAATTGATATGATTGTGAAAGTGAAGTATGTGCATGGAAACAATGCGAACATAGTTTAATTTGTATAATCTTTACTCGTAATTCATATTTTATGGGATGGATATATAACCTAATTCTCTAATTTGAATGCTTTTTATATCATGTGATATGGGCTCACAGTGGGCTCACACATTGTACTCTAGTTTAAAGGGGTGGTTGATTTCAATTTCACTTTTTTCATTTGAAATAGTGTGTAATGTTGCTGTATCTGCAAAGTTGCAGCCCTGAAAGTTCAACGTAAGCAGAGATATCGTCTTTTAAAAATCAGGAAGTTTAATGCCTACAAAAACGACTCAAATGGGACTACAACGAGATACTTAGTAGTTAGTAGATTGTTTCCGAACAACGTGCACTACGCAGTTTAGCCAATCACAACACACTGGCCCAACTAACCAATCTGAGCCCATTGCCTGTTTCGGGGGAGTGGTTTCATAGTCAACCGGTCGTTCAAATGACAGAGGAGAAAGCGCTTACAATAAAAGGGGAAATTTATGAAAAATAAGGCTTTTAAAAAACAAACATGAAGACATGTTATATTGCACCCCATAAACACAATCATGCAAAGAAAAAAAAAACAGTAAACCACCCCTTTAAATCATGAAATATGCATTGGAATAACATGACATCATTTTTCTTTGTTTTATCATACCTGATTAATAATTGTAAACTGTGGATAGTGTGTTTAGATGAATAAATCAGTATAAACATCAGTATAAATCACAATCCCGTGCTATGGGCAGAGCCATTGATCCAGGCTGAAGCGGAAGTTATTTTAAGCTATTAAAAGCTTCAGCTTTTCAAACGTGGAAGTGTGATAAAGGCCTATAATTTACTTCACCAAATAGAACTGCAAAATTAATTACCGTTTTCAACAGTGATTAATTTACGATCCAAACACAATTTTCCATCTCTATACACATTTAATCATACAAAAAGATATTTCATTGCATTGAAATTTGTTATCAGAAGACTAGGGCCTCTAACTTCTCATGTTTGCAGATAGTAGATCTACATTTCCATCCTAAGCGGACTCTCACTGGCAATGGGCCCTGCAGACACTAAGCGAACAGGCTGTTAGCCAGAGTCCCACCATCTCCCAGCTAGCAGCTAACTGCTAACTTTAGACCCACAAACGCTCTGGGCTGCGGCCAGCTCTCCTGTCTTTAACCAAGCATGCAATGGAGAGCCCTGAAGCTGCCTGGAAAAAAGTGAGAGTTTTTTTTCCCCCATGCTGCTGTAGATAAAGAGACAATTCAAAAGACATTATTGTACAAGGGTCTGTCACGAGTTACACCACGTCAAAAGTTTCTCATAAACCACCGCTGGGTTTTAAAATGCTCTGCAAATGTCACTTAGATAACAGATGACTGTAGCAAGCTTAAGAACTGACCTTAAAAAAATGATATTATTTAGACTTACCGCATTGCATTGACACAATAAGAACAACTCAAGATTTAAACAAATGGCATTGTTCCAACAAGCAACTTAAGTATACTGTAATTAAATGACTCAGTTGCACCCTTTTGAACAAACAACACAAGCTATAAAATAAATTTTAAAAAAGATAAATAAATATTAGGCTATGTTACAATAATTATGATATTAAATATTAGAAAGTGTGTATACCGATAATATAATAATATATTTTAATGTTATTTATATTATTTTAATGTTATTTATATCCTACAGTATTTAATAATATTTTGAATTCAGTTTTAATATTAGTCATAGTAAATTTAATACTTCAAATTACTAAAACTTGCCATTTCTAATTGTGGGTTGAAGCATTCAAAGATTGTATATCACGTTTGTATTTTCACACATGCCCACGAAATTCATAACATTTGGCCTCTAGGACCACCACTGTCAATCGAATCGTTCATTAAATATTGGAGATTTCAAAAACCTATGGCGCTTTTCCACTGCTGGTCCGGCTGAGTACGGCTCAGTACGGTTCGGCTCGCTTCGCTTTTCCACTGCGTGGTATGACTCGGCTCGA